TATAGATCCATCAATGCTTATATGATAGATGCGTACAAAATACAATAGTAGATTTTTAATACGAAATGATTGTGATGGAACTATACGTGTACGCTAAATGATTATTCTGAAATTTTATGATATTCGTGATTGATTTCGGAATAGCCATTATATTAGTTATTAGTAAAAAGCCAAAATATTTGAATGAATATATGATCCGTTAAAGAAAAACCTATAATTGAAAACAATATGAAAAAAATCAAGTTCCACAAAAAATAATCGTTAGAGCATCATTAATAGAGACACTCTTAAAAGTGTTTTAAAAATAAAAATAATTAAAAAATTATTTAATTAAATGAACTTTCCATCAAAAGATTTTTACGAGATAGAACTTATTAAATCCTCCTTAGAGTGTCAAAATATTTTTAATCTTACAAAATTACTTAAGATCTTTTATGAGTGTTTTGGATAAAAAATTACTTAAGAATCATTTAAAATCTATTTTTCTAACTTTTTTTAAAAATAGCGTTATAATAATAATCCGAAGCTGAGAGACGGCAAATTTATGTTTATATCAGTTTTAGTGTTTTGTGGCTCGTGAGTTAATTACATCTAGCTATGATTTTAACGGTTTGATCTTCCTTTTAAGAACTAACGAGATAGAAATTTCAATAATTTGGAATAAATTCAAACACTAATAGAAATTGCTTTTATGAGAAAAAACTTAAGATGATGGACAATACATGGGTATACGAGGGTGGGTTCGGTTAATAACGACAATACAGAAGGGCAATTCAGTCATTTTACTAATCCGTATACGTATGGTCAAGCCCGTTTTGTTGTTACGTGAAGTGTTGGCTTCTATATAACCTCGTCTTCTCCAACTTGTTCTTCCCCATAAATCTGATAATCAATACATAAAAAATACCCAAAAAACAAAGAGAGAGATGGGAAACAGCTTAAGGTGTTGTCTTGCATGTGTTCTTCCATGTGGAGCACTAGATTTGATCAGGATCGTTCATCTAAACGGCTACGTTGAGGAAATCACACGGCCAATAACCGCCGGAGAGATCCTTCAAGCAAACCCTAACCATATCTTAAGCAAACCATGTTCTCAGGGTGTTGTCCGTAAAATCTTGATCTTGTCCCCTGAATCTGAGCTCAAGAGAGGAAGCATTTATTTTCTCATCCCTGATTCTTCCTTGCCGGAGAAGAAAAGGAGGAGAAAAGACGGTGGTCATCGCCGGAAAAAGACTCTCATCGACAAAAACAACAACAACCCTAGCGCCGATGTTAAAGGTGAAGATGATCAATGTGTGAAGTTGTGTGACAAGTACTTAGAAGAAGTTGTGTCGTCGACGACTGGTAAAGAACACCGTCATCGCCGGCGACATAGCAGATCGGCGTCAGTATCCACGTGGCGGCCTCACCTTGATAGTATCTCTGAGGATCTTAATTAAATGCCTCTTCTCTTTGCCTTTTTTTTTGCTTCTAGCTAATGGTGTTTTTTTGTCCGGAAGCCGGATTTTTATTTCCGAGAGATC